GCCTGCGGCGGCGGCGGTAGCGCACGTGGCAACCCCCCGCGCTTCCTTGCCTCCCATCCACCGGACCCCGTCNTGCGCTTCACTTTGTTTCGGGAGGGGCTGCTCACTGCTCATTGCTCATTGCTCATCGCACACTGCTCAACGCTCATTGCCCTATATCCCACCCAGCCGCAGGACTCTACTGCCGCCCGCGCCCCGCCCCATCTGGCCGCTTGCGCGCCCCATCCCCCCTCGATGGGGCCCGCCCACACCGGGGCCTCCCCCCTCCCGCCCACTGCTTTCTCAACGGCCCCGAGCCGGGGCTGCCCTCATTGCATACATAGTGCGCCTTTCCCTGCTTTTCTAGTGACCTAGCGTTCCGCACTGCCGTTTGGCCAGCCCATGCTCCCGTACCGTTGCGTTTCTCCCCAATGCGCCATGCCACTTTGCCAGTCATACACACGTTTCGATGCGTGCCCTGTCAGCTGCTTGCGTTGCATGTCGCCTTGCTCCACCCCTGTTTTATTGCTTTCTCTGCTTTCGCCCGGTTCCCGTCCCGTTTCGGCGGGGAGTCTATGTTGCAAGCTAGTTCTTGCTTTACCAGACTTTAAGCCCACACAAGCAAGCATGGAGGCTGGGCCCCTGCTGCGCTTGCCTGCTGCCACCGTCCACCCCCTCCACACATGCACCGCGCATGCTGTTGCGCCCATTTGCGCCACAGCGTGGATCGAATGAGCACAAGTGCTTCTTCTGTGCACAACTGCTGCTTCTGCAAGGCCCGTGCCTTCAACACTTGGCCCTCACTCGCGCGCCCCACTCTCCCTGTGCCCCGGGCGGGCAACCCCTTGCCCCGACTGGCATCCGTGGGGTAAAGCGTGGCGGCCGCCAGCAGGAGCTAGCCTTGCAGGCGCCGCCCCTCCGCCCCACCGGCGGGACCGCCGCCGCAGCAGGGCAGGTCTAGGTAGCGTGCAGGGGGAGCAAAAGCCCTGGTGCTGCTGACGGCCAGCCTGAAGCTGGCATGGCAGGCATGGAGCCGCCCTGTCAGGCCCTTTCGGTGCACCAGCGCTAGGCCTGTAGCACCCACGATGCGTTCCCGCCACAGCACGGCACGCCCCGTCCCGCACGCGGCGGCGGCGGTCGCCCTCCTGCGGCTGGCTGCACTGCTGGCGCTGGCTGCAGTGGCCCCAGCGGGGGTAGCCTCCGCGGAGGACGCCGCAGCAGCCGCAGCAGCCGCACACGAAGGTACAGCCCTGCTGCCCCGCCGGCGCCCAGCCGCTATCTGCTTTGTACCAGCGCCTGTGCCCGCACCCCCACTGTGCCTTACCGCACCCCTGCCGCCCGCGCCGCTGGCGCACCGCCACGCCCCGTCACCAGCCCGCCGCTGCTGCCCTCGCCCTCCCCGCCCTGCCCCGCCGCCGCCTGCAGAGGAAAGGATCATGCTGGACCTGCGGGGCCTGCTGTGGGGCAGCCTGCCGCAGTGGATGGCGTACCGGCCTGGCTGGAACCCTATCAACAACTCCTCCCACTGCACCTGGTCCAACGTCAAGTGCAACAGCGGCAAGCACGTCGTCTCGCTGTGAGCAATCCGCGCGCCGGCCGGGCCTGGGGGCTGGCGGGCATGACATGGCATGTGTTGCTGTGTTCTTCGCCGGCTGGCTGGGCTGGCTCTGAGCTGGTTGGTTGGCTGGGCTGGCTTTGGGATGGCGTTGTTGGTGGGGCTGCGAGGCCGGCGCAGGCAGCTGCTGCCTGTGGGTGGCAGGAGCAGGGCCGAGCTGCTCGGCCGCCGACCGCCGCTGCCGGCCGCGCCTGCCGCAGGGTGCTGCGCGGCTTTGTGCCTCGTCCCAACGGCTCGCAGCGGCCCCAGGGCCCCGGCAGGAAGGGCGCTGCCGGCAGCAACCCGCGCTTCAACGCCACCGTGGCGGCGGCAGAGCTCGAGGCGCTCGGCAAGCGGGCCGCGGCGGCGCTGGCGCTGCCCCCGGCCCTCGCCCGCCTGCCGTGGCTGGAGGAGCTGAGGTTGGCTCAGTCGCTGGTGCCGCTGGATGGCGGCGTGCCGGACGCGTGGCTGGCCCCCGGCGCCTTCCCACGGCTCAGGAGGTGAGCCGGCTGGCCGGGGTGGCTGGGTTGGCTGATCTCGCCACGTGTTGTGCCACGGCGCGCAGCATGCCGTGCTTTGTCGGCCGACCGGCTGCCTTGCGGCTGTGCACAACGCAGGCTGGAGATTTGGGCGCCGGGGCTGGGCGCGCCGCTGCCCGCCATCCCGCGCGGCGTGCTGCCGGCGCTGGAGCAGCTGGACCTGCGCTTTCCCGTGGCCGCCACCCTGCCCGCGGCCTGGGGCGCGCCGGGGGTGCTGCCTGCGCTGGAGTCGCTCACGCTGCGCGCGCTGTGGTCTGGCGGCCTGCCCCCCGCCTGGGCCCGCGGCTTCCGCCAGCTCCGCACCCTGCGCCTGGCTGACTTCTACTGGCGCGCCAGCCGCCCAAGCGCGGCCGCCGACCCGTCGACGCTCAGCGGCGGCGGCGGCGGCGGCGGCGCGGAGGCGGAGGGCCGGGGGGACCCTTGGGCGACAGACCCCTGGGCTGCAGCCTCGGAGCTGGAGCCGGGAGAGCAAGGGATGACAGAGGTGTTCCCCCACTGGCCAGCCAGCAGCAGCAGCAGCAGCACCGGCGACAGCAGCAGTAGCGGCAGCAGCAGCGACAGCGGCGGCAGCGGCGGCGGCAGCAGCGGCAGCAGTCAAGCTGGTGCCGGCGGCAGCGGCGGCGGCGGCCTCGCTCCGACCCTGCCTCGCGACTGGGCGGGCGGCTTCCCGGCGCTGCGCTCGCTGGCCCTCAACGGGCTGGCTCTGGAGGGGCCCCTGCCGGCCGCCTGGATGACCGACGCCGCCCTCCCGCTGCTCTACCTTCTGTGAGCAGCGGCCGCCTGCTGCCAGGGCCGCCTTGCGTCCGCCACGCTGGCTTCTCTGCTGCCTCTGCTGCTGCTGCTGCCTGGCCTGCTGTGAATGGGCCCCATCCGCCCCATCAGTTGCTCCAAATTTGTTGACGCCGTGCAACGTGCTTGCCTCCCTGCCTGAGCATGCTGCCCTGTTGTACCTCCCTCTGTACCGCAGAGACCTGATGGGGAATGCGCTGACGGGTCGCCTGCCCGCCATCCTGTTCCATACACACCCCTTCCTGTGGCACGTGGAGGTGCGGGGGCTGGGGCTGGCGTACCGCCTCGGTACTGCCTGTGCCTGTAGGCCTGCTGGTTGCATCTCGGCTGCGGGGCGACCCTTCACTTCCCTGGCTGCTGCGCTGACCCCACGCCACCACCAACACTGACACATACACTAGTGTTACACACACAACACTGCTCAGCCGCCTGACTGTGCCTGCACCCCTCCCCCGCCTGCTCTGCTGCAGCTAGACAACAACAGCTTCACGGGGAGGCTGCCAGACGCGTGGCAGGCGGCCCGGGTGAGGCCGCCCGCAAGCTCCCACCGCCTGGAAGCTGCTGCCGCCGCTTGGGGCGTTCCGCTGCCTGGCCGCCGCCGCTGGGCAGCGCTGCGAACACCCTTGTGGTGGAAGCCTGCTGCCGCCACCCTGCCGGCATCCCACACAAACACGCAGCACGCGGCGCACACACACGCACACACACACGCGCACACACGCACACACACACATGCGGCCGTGCTTTCCACCCCCCTTGCAACGCCCTGCAGGTGCAGCGCCTGTCCCTGGCCTCCAACCAGCTCACCGGCCCCGCCTTCCCGCCCGCCTGGCTGGAACCAGGCTCCCTGCCCTCCCTCAGCGCCCTCTTCCTGTCTGGCAACGTGGGGCTGACCGGCACGCTGCCCGCCAGCCTGCCCTGGCCCAACCTGCAATCCTTGTGAGCGCCCGCCGCCGCCGCCTGGCTCCTGCCTCGGCGCGCCGTTCAAGGCCGGTCACATGCATACGCTTGCTCCTGGCGCTGCGCTAGAGCCCTGCTGCCGCTTGTCCCGGCTGCCAGCTGGCGGTGGGGGCTGCCAACCCATGTGCCAGGCGCCACCTGGCTTAGAGACATGCCTGCCTGCCTGCCTGCCTGCCTGCCTGCCTGTTGTGCAGGGTGCTGGCTGGGACGGGGCTGGGAGGCACCATCCCTCCCGACTGGTGCACGGCGCCCTTCCGCCTCTCCCTCAAGCACCTGTGAGTGCTGCTGCGCTGCCGCAGCCCGGCACCGCGCCGGCCGCCCTCGCGCCCTGTCAGCACCTCCGCCGCTGCCGGCGCCGCCCCTGCGCGGCCGCCTGCGCTGCCGCGCCCACTTGCTGCTGCGCCGTGCTGCGCGCCGCACCTGGGCCCGGCACGGCAGCCCCCTCCCAGCCCGCGGCCCGCGCCGTGACACCCCCACGCCTCGCTGCCGCTGCCTGCACCCATCCCTTTGCCCCTTGCCCCTTGCCCCTGCCCCTGCCTGCTCGTAGGTGGATTAAGGGAACCGACATCGATCCCACGCTGCCGGTCTGTCCCAACCGGGACGCCACTCACATCTATTTGGATGTGCCCACCCGCGCCGCCACCAGCGGCGGCAGCAGCGGCAGCAGCAGCGGCAGCAGTGGCGGCGACGGAGGAGGAGCTGGTACCGGCGGTACCGGCGGCGGAGGGCTCCCCGTCCCGATGCCCGCAGGCGCCGGCCAGCGGCAGCCTGCGGCGGCGCGGGACGGCAGCGCGGCCGGAACCGGCACGGACGCGGCAGGCGCCGCGCCGGGCGGGGCCCAGCCCTCGGCCGGCGGCCTGGCGGTTGTCGTGGCTCTGGCCGCCGTGGCCGCGCTGCTGGCGGGGGGTGCCGCGGGAGGGCTGGCGTGGCGGCACAAGCGGCGGCAGCGGCGGCGCCGCTCCGGCGACGCCGGCCTGGTGCGCCAGCAGCTGCTGGGCGGCGGCGGGCCCGGCAGCGGCGACGGTCCGGGCGGCGGCGCCGCCGCCTTGCTGGCCGCCGCCGCCTCGCCCGAGGCCGGCGGCGGCGAGGCCGGCGGCGGCGAGGAGGGCTGCGGGCTGCCATCGCCGCGCAGCCAGCAGCGGGACAAGAGCGTGCGTACCGCGGAGCTTCTCAGCCGCACGCTCGTCGAGGCGGGCAGGGGTGGCGGGGAGATTGAGATGCACCCTGTGGGCGGCCTGCCTGCCGAGATAGAGGACAGAATGGAGGCGGCGGCGGGGCTGTCGGGGGCAGCCACACCCAGCAATCCCGATTCCGGCAGCCTTGCCACCTGCTCCGCCGCGCTGGGGGAGATTGCCCAGGTGCAGGCGCTGCTCAGCGAGCAGGCCGCCGCCGCGTCAGCAGGCGGCGGAAGCAGCAGCCGCGGCAGCCGCGGCCGGGCGCCACCCGGCGGCGGCGGCGGTGGGGTGACAGAGGTGGAGCTTGCGGCGGCTGCGGCGGCGGCGGGAGCGGCGGCGCGGTACCCTTATGCCGGCTCCGGCAGCAGCTCAGGCTGGACCCACAGCAGCGCCCCCTCCCCAGCAGGCTCCGGCTTCCTGGGCGGCGGCGGCGTGGTGAGCGGCACCACCGTGCTGCCGCCCTCCCCGCCCGCCACCTCTACCCACCCGAGCTATGCTGCTGGCGGCTATGCTGCTGCTGCCAGCGGCTCTGATGGCGGCTTTGCTGGCGGCGGCGGCGGTGGCAGCGGCGGCGGCGGCGGCGGCGGCGAGGACCCTTCTTCCTCCAAGCCCCGCGGCCAGCGGCGCTGGGACGCCCTGGACAGCCAGCCTCTGGCGCTGGACAGCCAGCCCAAGCTTCTGGAGGTGGGCTCCGGTCGGGCTGGGGTGGTGGTGGTGTGGAGGTGGAGGTGTGGAGGTGTGGGGGTGCCGCATTTCGCGTTTGTTTGTTGTTTTCTGCCTTGGGCGGGCCCGGGCGCGTTTCCGACCCTCCCTTGTGTGCCTCGCTGGCACCTCCTTCCTCGCCTCCCGCCTGCAACCGCCAAACACACCCCGGCCTCGCCTCGCCCGCACACACATGCCCGCCTGCGCCCGCGCCACCACGCGCTCCCACCCTCCCTGCCTGCCTGCCGCCGCCCCGCCGCTGCCGCAGTTTGACAAAGGGCCCGACGGAGAGCTGGTGCTTCTGGGAGAGGGCGGCTTTGCCTCTGTGTACCAAGCCCGCCTGGGGGATCAACCAGTGGCGGTCAAGGCACGCGATGCCGCCGCTCCCGCCGCCTCGGGGCGTGTGCCCTGCTGGCTGCCTGGCCGGCTGCCTGCGTGCTGCATGGCTGCTGGCTGCGGCACACACGCTTGTGTTGCTGGCCGGCTGGCTGGCTGCTGCCTGCTGCTGGCTGCTGCTTGGCTGCTGGCTGGCCGGGCTTGGCCGCTGCCTGCTGGGCTTGGCGTGGACGCTGCTGTCCGGCTGCGCTGCCACGCTGGCCAGCCCGCTGCGCATGCTGCCGCCGCGCCCACCACCTCTGCTCCCAGCCGCCGCACCTCTGTTCCCAGCCTGCCTCCCTCCCTCCCTGCTTCCACCCCGCCTCCCCGCCCCACCCACCCCCCACCACAACCACGCCCCTGCCAGGTGTTTGAGCTGGTGGCCGACCTCGATTCCACTGCCATCTGGCGCGAGGTGGCGCTGCTGCGGCAGTGCCAGCACCCGAGGGTCGTCCCCGTGTACGGTGTGGCCATAGTCAACTCCTTGCTGATGATGGCAATGGGCCTTATGGAGGGAGGCACGCTGCGCACGGCGCTCAAGGACGAGGCGCGGCGCCCGCGGCTGGCCTGGCATGAGGGGTGAGTCGGCGGCTGCAGATGGAGGGGTGGCTTTGGAGGCGGGGGCGTGGCTGCCGGGGTGTGGCTGCGGGGGTGTAGAGGGGGGCTGCCGAACAGGCCGCCTGCGCCGGCTGCGCCAGGGCTGGCGGAGCTGGCCCGCGG